TCTATGGGAAAATGTACCTGGGTATTATGGTAATAATAGCTACATAATACTAAGTAGATTTGCAGCCAAAAAAACTACTCAATAAATGTTTAAAAAATAATAAGATGCAATCCTTAAAAATGCTCTCAATAAGCTGGGTGTTGTGGTGGGTGCCTATAGTCCCAGCTACTTGGGAGACTGAGGCAAGATGATTGCTTTAGCCCAAGAGTTTGACGTGGCTATTAGCTATGACACCACGGCACTCTACCAGGAGCAAGAAAGTGAGATTCTGTCTCAAAACAAACAACAACAACAAAAACATTTTTTACAGTTGTGGTGGATGCCTGTAGTCCCAGCTACTTGGGAGGCTGAGGCAAGAGAATCACTTAAGCCCAAGAGTTTGAGGTTGTTGTGAGCTGTGATGCCACAGCACTCTACTACCCAGGGCTATAGCTTGAGACTCCATAAAAAAAAAAAAAAAAGTGTTATTACTATATAGGCTTTTAAAAAACCTTTGGCCAACAGATTGGGTTGCAAATGACTCCTTCAAAAAATAAATTCACCATGAAAGAATACCAGTGAAGATACTTAAAACATTCTTTTCAAGTGTTTTTTAAAAAAGCATTTCAAAAATTCTATGTTCATAATAGCATATATGTTAGCATAACAGTTCAGAATAGGCTGAACTAAGCATATTGCTCCTTAGCTCCTGGCAATTCTGAGCCTTGTTTAACAGAACTAGTTTATGCTCATTTTAAAATAAGACTCTCACAGTCAACAAAATGCAAGAGCTGACAAAAGTTGAGCAGAGAAAGATTTTAGAAAAAGAATGCCCTATGGAAATGGACAAAACAAAACTAAACGAGCCCTTGGATTTTCCCTTTTGTGAAGCGCTCATTTCCATTGCTCAATTTGCCAACAAAGATGAGGGCACCTTCCCTAATCAGGTCATTATTCTGTTTCTCAATATCTAGAATGGGCTCAATATGGAACAATGTGTATTAGGGATGAAGAGACCTTTGTATGGGGTTCTTGTGAGGATACAGGAAAGGTATCAAGGAATATTTTCCTTTGAGAATTTTTCCCAGTTCACACTTTAGAAAGAGCTATGTCTTATTTAATAAAAGCTAAGGTTCCCACATTGTTATTTTTAGCTCTTGGAGAAATCAAGAGATACTGATATCCTCCATCAGAGGGAATCTTTTCTCAGATGCTAAATTTAAGCAAGAAATAGATAACTTTTTGACCTAAGAAAGATAGTGAGCATAATGTCCCTAGATTTAAAAAAAAAAAAAGGCTTCATCCATTTAAGGCATTTCAAAAGAATACCTGTACCTCAGTGTATACAAATAATACACCTAACTAAAATTAACAATGGCATTGAAAGATAGAAAAAGATAAAAAAAAAAGAATAAAAAATGGGGGAGAAGAAGACAGTTGATGAGGGTTGTAAGGCTTCAGAAGTACAAACACAAAAGCAGTTTCTTTATACCTTGAACCACTTAAAGCCCAAATGACTGGTCTCCTGCAATGTTTCACTCAACAGCTTCAGATAGGCAGTAAATAGCAGAACAGTGGAAAACAAGATAAACAGGAAACAGAGAAGGAAAAGAGCATGCAATTAAAAGCAAAATTTATACAGCTACGTTGGAGGACAGTTTGGTAGTTTCTTTTAAAGGTAAAACATCATCTTACCTTATGATCTTATAACTTAGTAATCATATTCCTAGGTATCTGTCAAAATAAGCTGAAAATTCATGTCTCCTCAAAAACCTGTACATGAATGTTTATAGCAGCTTTATTCATAATTGCAAAAAATTGGAAGGAATCAAGAAGTTTTTTTAACAGGTGGAGGAATGAACAACCAGTGCACATGAGACAATGGAACATTAATCACAGATAAAGAAAAAAGAGCTATCAAGCCACAAAAAGATGCAGAAGAACCTTAAATGCAAGACTAAGTGACAGAAGCCAATGTGAAAAGGCTACATACTGTATGATTCCAACTGTCACTAAAGGAAAAGGAAAACTATAGAGAAAGGAAAATAATTAGGGTTTAGGGAAGTGGGGGGCACGAATAAAAGGGAGAACGCAAAAGAATTTTCAGGGCAGTGAAACTACTCTGCACAATACTGTAAGGGTGGATACCATCTCAGCATAAATTTGGCTAAACCCATGGAACTATGCATCACAAAGAGTACTATCACCATTGGGTCACTGTTAAACCACACTAGTGCAAGATGTTAATAACAGGGGAAGGGTCAAGAAAGGAGTCATGGAACTCTTTGTACCTTCTGCTCAGTTTTTCTACAAACTTAAAAACTGCTCTAAAAAATAAAGTCTATTAAATATAAATAAATAAAATCTATCAAAAAAGCCCATTATATATTCAGTTCACAAAATAGCTTTAGAAACATAAAACAGAAGTCTAAATACCATAACGACATGATCTATTATTAATTGCCAAAATTGTTGCATGATCTCTGATGCTTAATACTTGTCAGTAAATGCATTACAAAAAGCAAAGCAAAGCAAAGCATTACAGAAAGAAAAATCTTTACAGAAAAAAAGAGAGCCATTTGAAAAATAAAGGAGAGATAAAAAGGGTGCCCTCAAGACAAAAGAAATCCCTCCTCATTCTGGGAGCCAGCAACTTCCCCTCTGAAGTCCTCCATTTGACTGCACATTAGAAAAACATTCAGAGGCATGTGCTGCCACAGAGGCGTGTGCTGCAATCCCAGCATTCTGGGAGGCCAAAGCCAGTGGACCGTTGGAGCTCAGGAGTTTGAGACCAGCTTGAGCAACAGCAAGACCCCATCTTTACCACAAACAGAAAAAGCCAGCCAGGGGTTGTGGCAGGAGCCAGTGGTCCCAGCTACTCAGGAGGCTGAGGCAGGAGGATGGCTTGAGCCCAGGAGTTTGCAGTTGCTGTGTGCTATGATGATGCCGGGGCACTCTACCCAGGGCAACAGAGTGAGACTCTGTCTTAAATAAATAATGAAATGAAGAATATTCAAACAGAATGTGGGCAAGGCATTTATCCAGGAACAAGATACTGAAAAATGCTCATTTTATGAAAAGTGCAATTTCCCGGCTCGGTGCCTGTGGCTCAAGCAGCTAAGGCGCCAGCCATGTAGACCTAAGGTGGTGGGTTCGAATCCCCAGCCCGGGCCCGCCAAACAATGATGGCTGCAACCAAAAAATGGCCAGGCGTTGTGGCGGGCGCCTGTGGTCCCAGCTACTTGGGAGGCTGAGGCAGGAGACTCGCTTGAGCCCAGGAGTTGGAGGTTGCTATGAGCTGTGATGCCATGGCACTCTACCCAGGGGGGGATAGCTTGAGGCTCCGTCTCAAAAAAAAAAAAAAAAAAAAAAGTGCAATTTCCCCTCAGCTTTGCTAATAAATTGGTTTTTCTTTCTACATTTGACATGAAAGAAACCATATCCTTTGTATTTAATAAGGCAGTGAAGGGAGTCTCTGAGGTACATACTACAGTATGTCAGCCTTGGAAATGTACCCTTCTTCCTAACTACTCAATAATCTTACCACACAGCAACATAATGGTCTGATCAAGGGGACTCCCCAAACAATTCTTAACACTTTCTCATTGGACTTTTTTTTTTGTAGAGACAGACTCTCACTTTATCGCCCTCGGTAGAGTACCGTGATGTCATACTGCTCACACCACCTCCAACTCCTGGGCTTAGGTGATTCTGTTGCCTCAGTCTCCCAAGTAGCTGGGACTACAGGTACCTGCCATAACACTCAGCTATTTTTATTTATTTATTTATTTATGTATTTATTTTTGCAGTTTTTGGCTGGTGCTGGGTTTGAATCCACCACCTCTGGCATATGGGGCTGGGGCCCTACTCCTTTGAGCCACAGGTGCCGCCTCACATCTGGCTATTTTTTTTCTTTTTTTTGTGACAGAGTCTCATTATGTCACCCTCAGTAGAGTGCGGTGACATCACAGCTCACAGCAACCTCAAACTCTTGGGCTTAAGCGATTTTCTTGCCTCAGCCTCCCAAGTAGCTGGGACTACAAGTGCCTGCCACAATACCCAGCTACCATCTATTTTTTTTGTTGCAGTTTGGCCAGGGCTGGGTTTGAACCCACCACGCTCAGTATATGGGGCTTGCACCCTATCTAATGAGCCACAGGCACTGCCCCAGCATTTATATTTCTCTCACAAAGAAATAGAAAGGAAATAATTACTGCAAAATTAACGTCATGAACCTTTGTGTGAGGGACATTTAAAGCTGCCAATCACAGTCTCACAATGGGAACTAAGATTATAGCCTTCACCTGTGAAAATAATTATTTCCATCCAAGCTTCCCATCTTTATTCTTCCTAATAAAAAGTCAATGGAAAATACATAAAACAAACATCAACACATCACCTCAAGGCTGAGACATGCCAATCCAGGACTCAAGAGCCATGATAATCTTTGTCCTTCATAAGTGCTATTTACCTTACTTGTTATAAGTTTAATTGCTCTTTTGAAAATGGACAGGTATGAAACAAATAAACTACGGTAGAACCTCTGTAAGATGACCATCTAAGGGACTGCAACAAACAGGTCAACTAGGGAAGGGTCAACATAAGGAACTAGGCCTGATACATACACATCAGACATATCTGATCTATGAAAATTAGGTCAATTTAAGAAGGTAGTCAACTCTGAAGATTCTACTGTATTTGCTATTGGAAATCAATAACTTTGAGTCAGAAATGTTTGTGTTTTCTCATTCAATTTATAATAAAAGCCAGGGTCGTGCCCAACTTGTAGCAAACAGACAAGTTCCATTTCATCTCAGCTGATCCATTAGTATAATATAGGCAACCCCCAAGTTACAGACATCTGACTTACATACAACTTGCACTTATGAATAGGGGCTACTATAGGTACAAGTAAATGTACCTGTTCGAACTTACATATAGATTTAACTTAAGAACAAACCTACTGAACCTATCTCATTCATAATCGGAGGACTGACTATATATATACATCAGTCCTCAGTTATTAATGTAAAAGCCTCTGCATTAACATGAGCCAATTCTTACACAACTACATATTTCAATTTTTACTGAAGTCTAAATACTGATACTTGATGTAGTGTTTCTGAAACCCTAATAACATCTAATATTTATAGTTTACCTAAACGATACTGGTTGGGTTTTACCTCATCTTTAACCAGCAGCATTGCTAATAACTGTATAAAATCGCAGACCTGTTTTTCAGCATTGGTCCTGGCTGATTCCTCTTGTGCTAGCACCATTTCTCGCTCTGCAGTTATCTGTACACTTTCTCTTAGGGCTTCTTCCAGCTCTTCAATCCTGTCATCCTTCTTACGAAGACTGTCCTGGAAAACGATGGAAGACTAGATGAAGTAGATTAATTAGGTAACCTAAGGAAAGGCTATTTATCAAGATAGGACTGTTAGCTTATTAAATGTTCTCCCTTTCAGAAGCAAATGTAGGCCAAAAAGATGTTTTTACAGAGGAAGAAGAAAACAAGGGAAGAAAAGATGTAAAGGAGGTTGAAGAAGTATATTATTTACAGCAAAGTGGCAAGTTAGTGAAGCAAGAAAACATGATAAACTTGCTCTCTACAACAGAGAGGATAAAGCTGTGTTAGAATAAGCAGCAAGGGCTGGATTATTTAAAAACATAAAGCTGTTTTTGAACTACTCTCTAAATTGAACCTAAAGCCAGCTTTGATGAAATCCAAGTAATCAGAATGAATTTCAAATATTCTCTTCCCCCGCAAAGTTAAACCTATGTAAAAAGTAAACAGCATGATCTTTCAGGTTATAATCTTCATGTAAACAATTATTGGCAAAATTTCAAAAGAAGGTAAGAAGAAGGCAGTATTGCCTAACATGCAAGAACACGAAGTTTTCTCTTAATCTTATATGAGAAAACTAAAAATGACACCTAGATATAAGGAACTTCTCTGGCTAACAAGGAGGAATTTAGTTAGCCAAGCAATTCCCATCAGCCCTGGTATTGTACACAAATTTTAAACATAACTTTTGGAGAAAGACAAAATCCTACAAGACTTTAAGTTCATGTGAGATAGGAGGGATCTTGACATAAGAAGGATAAATGAAGAAGAATTCAAGTAGGAGAACTGGACTTGTGTTTATTATAGACACTTCCTCTTAAAATTCTTATAGAACCAGAAGATTAAGAACAAAGTTTTGTCCTTTATTAATATATTAATATATAAAACAAAGGAAAACAATTTGCTAAATCATTCTCCAACTTGTGGCATATCAGGAAAGGATATGAAAGAATTTTGCCTTTAAGCAATTTTCATTTAATTATAATGAAGTTCACTTTTATAAGTACAAGGCACAAGAGATACCCAGAACTTGAAATCTGTCAAAGATAAGTTAGATTTTTCTCCCCACTTTCGAAGAACAGCATCTTATTATTTAACATTCTTCCTAAGAAAAAGCAAACAAATCTTTTGTTCTCTTTTTGTTTTTCTAAATTTTGAAAATGAGACTTAGAAAAAAGAATATTCACATTTGGTGATGTGTGTCATATTCATTTTAAGAAAAAAGTTTTCACGCTTCTCAGAGATAATGTTATAAAATACTGTCATCTATTCCCATAAATAAGGTTCTGTCTTATACAAGGCAGTTCAGCCATATAAAAAAATGTTCTTTGTCAAAATCTTAATGCTTCCTGTTGGCCTGCTATGAACAGCAGAGTACAGTGAGAGTTTCTAAAATAGTACCACATGGGGAGATAAGAACAATGCCAGTCAAAACAAAGACCAAGATGGTTTATTCAGAATCAAGGAAAAAAATCTCTAAATATAAGAGAAGGATTATGAGGTAGGGGCTGGCTGCAATGATTAGTTCAGCCCTCTTACACCCTCTAATGAATAACTATATTTGTAGTAACGTAGGATTATGAAATAAAGATTGTTTTAAGTAGGAATATACACTAACATTTCACGTTATCAACTTGGTGTAGAAAACTCAGTCTTATTGTTTCTGTCCAATCTATCCTATCCTGCTGTTACTTTTTGGGGGGGGGGTGGTATTTTGTTTTGTTTTGAGGTCTCCTGAGAGGTTTCTATTATCCTAACCTAAATTGAGGCTGAAACAGTTATTCCAAATAACCTCCCAGGAATCTATTTCAAATAAACAGCTTTACTTGTACACCTGTGTGGTGTAAAAAATAGTTCGTGGCTTTATCAGTAAGATTCTAAAGAGGGAAGATGATTACTAATTTTTCAAAATGCAGAGAATCAGTGCAGGTTTTCAAAAATGTAAGCTTCCTCAAAATCACTGGTGAAACCAGAGTCCACCAGACAAAGCTCAGGGTGCAAGGGCATTTATTTAAGAAGTCTTCTGGACTTAATGGTAAAACTTATTTCAAAATCTTTCTCAATAATAAGGATGAAGAACAAAAGCCAAGTGAAACTAGGAATTAAAGCAAAAGGCTACTAAATAATATTTATGTGACATTATAAGTCATGTAGGAGCTGAATATGGAATCATTGCTCTAAGTAAACAGGGCAGCAGAAAGAGAATGAAGATAGTAAATCAACCTCAGCTTCACCAACAAAGTTCATGACTACTTCATCTACCCAGCGAGTAAAATTTGGTCCCAGGTTTAGTTTTGAAATCTTAACAGATACCTATTAAAGAAAACCAAGGAAGTTTCCTTTGTGTTGAACCACATCTTGAATCTCCTTTTTACAAAATACTGAGCCAATGCAAGAAATGAATAGGAAAAACTTTTAGTCCTATAAATACTGGAGTACCAAACAATACTGCTACATCTTACTTATAATCATTCTTTCCTGCCCTTGCCATTTCAAGAAGATTAAAAACATTTTTTCTGTACTTAGATTATAATATGGGTACTCTTTTTTATAAAAGTTTAGAATACTGGAGAAAATAAAAGATCTTAAAACAGGCTCAGCACCCATAGCTCAGTGGTTAGGGTGCTGGCCACATACTCTGGGGCTGGCAGGTTCAAAGCTGGCCCGGGCCTGCTAAACAACAATGACAACTACAACAACAACTACAAAAAAAGTAGCTGGGTGCTGTGGCGGGTGCCTGTAGTCCCAACTACTTGGGAGGATGAGGCAAGAGAATCACTTAAGCCCAAGAGTTTGAGGCTGCTGTGAGCTGTGACACCATGGCACTCTACCGAAGGTGACATTAAAAAAAAAAAAAAATCTTAAAACATTGTAAAGCTTTGGCCAAAAATGACTGCCTACAAAGAATCAAAAAATCAGAAGACAATGGAGTTGTTAAAGCAACACAGCAACCTAGAAAACAACTAAGTAATGCCTTCAAAACTCCAAGGGGGGTGGGAAAGATTTTCAATCTAGATTTCTGTACTGAACTATCAATCAAATATGAGGATAAAAAGTAAAGTCACACAAAATATGCATCAATCACAGACTTTTTCAAGAAGTTACTTGGGTGTGCTCTATTCAAATTGAAGAAGAAAATCTGGAAAGAGGAAGATGTAGGATGAGAAAAAAGAGACCTACCACAGACCTACCAAGGGAGTCTCTAAGATGACAGAGAGCCTACAGAGTTAAGTGCAGATTAGAACAGAGAAAGCAAACTGTTTCAAGGAAAAAAGCCAATGTATGGATTATCAGAGAATAACTGATAAGGGATGACATACCTTACAATAATTATAATGCTAGGAGGAATTTTTATAGTTCTGACAAGCAATTCAGGAATAAACAGGTGCTATGCATCAAATCAAATTAATCATCCAAATCTTCAAAACAGGAAAAACTAGAAAGGAAAAACTAAAATACTCCAGGAAAAACCAAAATGCAGATCATAACATACATTATGTTATAACATATTATGTGGCTTTACATAACTATGTTGGAAGGATGAAAAATAGAAGTATGTGTGGTTGTTTGTGTAAAAAATGCTAATTCTTCATCACATATAAGAAGTCAACAGATAAGGCCCAAATAATATTAAAAGAGCAACGTATGAATGTCATTTGAAAAAGTGGAAATGAGGCTCGGTGCCTATAGCTCGACCGGCTAAGGCGCCAGCCACGTACACCGAAGGTGGTGGGTTCGAATCCCCAGCCCGGACCCGCCAAACAACAATGACGGCTGCAACCAAAAAATGAGCCGGGCGTTGTGGCGGGCGCCTGTGGTCCCAGCTACTTGGGAGGCGGAGGCAAGAGACTCGCTTGAGCCCAGGAGTTGGAGGTTGCTGTGAGCTGTAATGCCACAGCACTCTACCCAGGGGGACAGCTTGAGGCTCTGACTCAAAAAAAAAAAAAAAAAAAAAAAGAAAAAGTGGAAATGAACAGCAGAAGAAACGTCCAAAAGAGGTGAAAGTGGTTGTCTAAAAGGAACAGGGATCACAGTTGAACAAAAATGAGACAGGTGACTGTTTTCTAACCCATACGATATTATTTCACTTTGTAAGTAACATATACATTATTCTGGTCAAAAATTCAAAAGCAAATTGAAAGATATGTTAAAAGTATAGTGTACACTGCATGGAAATTAAGAACATAAAGAAATTCTGGAAATAGTTACAAATGTGATTATTTACATACTTATACTCTAAATACACAGGTTAACTACAGTGGAAAGAGTAAAGTACACTGGACAAAATGTATCTAGACAGTGCTACTCATCCAAAGAAAGTTAAAGAGAACAAAACACAAACGAATTAAAAGTCATCCTGCTCTTACAGCCTTTTATTCAAAGTCCTATGAATTTCTTCATTATATTAATTTGTATAAGTCCATCAGAATTATGATGAGAAATTCTGTGGTAACTGTGGGATTCTCCAATGGGAACAATTTTTAAAGGAACACTAAAAGTACAATAACTTCTACTATGATTCTGAAGATATCTAAAACTTAATTATCTTATAGCAAATGTCTCAGACAAGCACAGAACCAAGAGGTTCCAGAAATTTTCCCCACCTCTCTTCCATGGAAATCATTTCCATTTTTTTCCATACCTACAGAAATAGTGGCAAGTAGATTTTTGTGGTAGAGTTTGACACAGAATTCTAGTGCTGCTCATCTATACTCATACTTAATGGTGGACGTTGTTCAATGCTTGTACTCTGAGTAGAAGTGACAGGTACCATCAGCTTCCTGTGGATCTGTGAGGGTGGCCTTTTGACTGAATCCAAATTTTACAGAACAAATCCTTTTGATTTTTTTATTTCTGTGAGACAGAATCTCCAACTGTTGCCCTGGGTGGAGTGCCGTGGCATCACAGAAGATATCCCTTTTTAAAAAGTGTGGATAGTCCAAAATAAGTTTTGCATAAATACTAAGTTTTGAAGACTTAATATTAAAAGAGGATATAAAATAATTTTCATATTTA